GAATTATCAGTTTGCTATATCATTTGAATGGAGGAATATGCTTGCTTTGATTTGTGTGTATAGATGATCACTCAATATCTATCTATTCATGAAAGACAAACTTTACTTCAAGGAAGGAAAGAGAAAAAAATATTCAAATCCAATTTCACTCCTAAATGACTCATCTCAGATTCAGAGTTAGATTATATGCTGGTAATTAACATAAATAATATTTGCCGTCAAGCAAAGCAATAATATACATAATATTGTGAGATAAATACAGGCAAGACATCTATACGACTCTCATTCAGTATGTCTAATTGCGAAACATATCCTCTAAAACATTACCTTGATGTTTACAGATGTACACACCAATATATCAAACATGAATATTTGATAGATATCAAACCTTTTTGTTACATCTCAGCACATTTTGTTAATATCCTACGACTACTGCTGACCCAAAATGTCAAATTTGAAAATGGGATATCACCAAACTGACGAATAAATGGCATTCAGTTGTACATATCACATAACTGAATTCTATAATGGTCTGCCTTTCGAGACTACCACTACCGACTGAGCATAGTTATTTGAGTGGCACATTACGTCCGTCCACCGCATACACTCGCAGCCTGTCCCACTATAGCAGGCAATCTAATGTATTACGTCAATGTTTGAGGGATCTCAGAGGTAGAGGTATAAATGCTTCGATTCGCCTGAAATGTTCGCCCGCCGCGAGGTCACCTGTTTCCAATATTAAACCGCTGAAAAGGGAGGAATAATACAAGCAGCCTGCGCAGGACTAACTAGTACTAGTAGAATGTGCTGAGAGAATGGGCCAAAAGTGGAGAGAGGGAGGGAGAGAGAGAGAGAGAGAGAGAGAGGGAGTCATTAGAATATTCAGAATGAGACAGAAAGACTGAATCATATAAATTCAGAAAGAAATATATAAAGAAGAGACGTGGACATATAAAGACAGATATCTTGATATACAAATCAGCTTGAGGGATCACTGAACATCCCAACATGGTCTTGAAAGAAGGTGAACTGTATATGAATGTATGAAAAGGACATGACCCCAGGGTGATATTAAAAATGTCTACCCCAAGTAAAAATATCAAAAAATAAAGGCTTGAGGGATGAAGAGTCATAGAAGTCATAATGTGCAATGGAAAAGGGGAAAAATACATAAGGAGACAATGGGTGTGAAACCTAGAAATTTAAGAATTTAAACTTTAAAGATATACAATGTTCTAGAATACAGATGAGAATGGAGGGATACAAAAATATGGGAAAAGACAGAGAGGTAGAGAGAGAGAGAGAGAGAGAGAGAGGGAGAGACACACACACAAACACACACATACAGAGAGGGAAAGAAGAGAGACAGAGACAGAAACAAGACTGCATATAAAAAAACAGAACGAAGAAGAGAAAGATGACAGGGATGTTGTATATGTGTTTTAATGACATGAACTGGATTGGGATCGGGGGCAGCGCATCTTCTGGAGATGTATTTATCCCCTGGAAGGACAGGTATATCAAGTACTAGCGCCCGCTGAACGACACCTGCACAAAATTGCTGAATGGATCTCCCAAATGATCTCCGCATATGACATGCCCCTGTCTTCATGGTAATGACATTCTTATATTAAAGGTACCGATACCGGTACACAGCTATGGCTGACAGGACAACGCAACAAAGTGTGGTCTAATGTTTCATATTTAATAAGTTATAAGTAATATGGTAAGTTTGAAATATGAGGGCATTACATGAGCAAATCCTTTTCATGTGACAATGTCATCACAATATTCTTTCTGATAGGAATAAACAAATGATTAAAAAGGAAGAACAGCTCACATATGACTTTTCACCTTTAACGAAACTCAACTTTCTCTTTAAATTATTGACATTTATCCAAAGTGTCCCAAAGTGGCAATATGAGAAAAATATGCCTGATAGCTAGATCAATAGTAATGAAAACTTCAACAATCAAAGAAATTAATTAAAATTACTTTTAGGGGGGACATTGATGACATTTGGTGCTCCAGATGAACATCAGATTTTGATGTTTTGAACGAATAACAGGTCAAATGGGAAATCTGTTCTATTTACATTGAGAGGTGACGACCTCAGATGATAACATTCAGAATTTTTCCAATCAAAACACTTAATTTCTGCACAACATTGATTTTTGTGAAAGGTTGAGACAAGGATTTAAAATAACAGTTTGTTTTAAAGGTTGCTTGGTCAAGATCACATATAAATGATTAATATCTATTTCAATAGTACATCTATATATTTGTTTGTAATAAAAGAAAGTGGAATCTTCCACTATCTCTTAGCCCCCCTCTCCCCCCCCCCCCTCCTCCTCCCTGGAAACAAAAAGATAATGCTATAATGTATCCCTCACTCATGAGACAATACCAGTGGCTCAAATTTGAAGACATTGCCAAAAGACAAACTAATGAATTACGATTCTTCAATTTAAATACAGTAGGAATGAAGACAAAATAATGCGGTATCCTTGGGAAATAGCCAAAGTGTTTCCAAGGCGATTGATGCGAGGATCGGACATGTCTCGGGACACGCAGACATGCATCTAAAAACACACTTCACTAATGAACGATGCTCCACTTTGATTAATGTGTGTCACATAGGCAGCATTCATCTCCAAGGTCTTTACTATTTCAATGTTGCAGGTTTTTTCTCCTCTCCTTCTGTCTTTCATTAAAAATGCAACCTGTGTAATACTCCCACGGGACCTATGGCTTGAAGTCGTATTCCCTACTCGGCCTCTAGCCACAGTGAAAATTTCTTGTAAACAAGTTTTTAATGCAATTCGTAAGACGTCAGTAGGATACATGAGTGTAAAAGGTAGACAATTGCTGCTCACATTTAGAAGGTGATGGGGCCTAGTCACTACAGTTCTTTTTATCACGGGGGGGGGGGGGGGGGGGGCTATTTCACATTGAAGAGCAACATGATAAAAGGAACAATCACACAACAGACAAGTGGGGGCCCAGTCACTATGCTTCTTCGACGGAGGGGGGGGGGGGTGTTGCCATTAGTGAAGGGGAAATGTTACACAATTTCTGCTCACATTTAGAAGGTGGGGCCTGATCACTACAGATTTTTTTTTTGTTGGGGGGGGGGGGGGGCTTTTTGATGATATAGAGCAACATGATATATGGATGAACCACAAAAGTAGACAACTGCTTAGATGTAAAAGGGTGGGGCCTGGTCACTATGTCTTAAGGGGGAGGGGTGCTCCTATTGTTGAGGGGCAAAATTATCTTAAAGTACAACCATAATGGTCGACACTGGTGCTTAGTTGTAGAAAATGGGGCCTGGTCACTATGCCCTTTGGGAGGGGGGGGGGGTGGGGTTAACCCCGGTCACACTTTTTTGTGAGGGGGGTGGGAGGTATCCTATGTTGGTGAACAATATCTGAGGTTAATTCAATCATAAGTTTTCACAGGGAGTGAATACCTGTTTAACAAACATTGCGATCAAGGGCTTAGATAGTTTCATGTTTCCCTAAACATTGTGTCTCGTTTAACCAACTTCTTTTTCAACTTGGATGAAATCAAGAGCAACGAGTGCTCAAATTCAACTGTCTGTCTTTACAGCAGCAATATATGATAACTGTACCCTACATCAAAAAGTTCAATAGTGCAAGATGACTTCTTCTCCAGACAAAATGGAAAATTTGATGCGTATTAGAACACTTTATTTTAGCAAAAGAGGCCATCAAATTCATATCATGTCAGTCATTAGTGAATAATAAAACAAAGACACCATAGACATTCAATACACATGTACCATATTCTCTAAATCAAGGAGCTGAGCTAATTGCCTGAACTGAAAATAACACCGTCTACAGTAGCTGGTAGCAAGTAAATTAATTCTCTTTTGATACACTTAAACTGGAATAAGTTCCTTGAAACTCCTCCAAGGCTCCAATATTTCTTGTTTTTCATCCAGGAACATATCTAATCCCTTTTTTACCAGTAGTAAAGTGTCATTCTGGACTATCCTGTTATATAGACGAGCTGGACCGATTCCCACTGCAGCCTTATAAAATCTTCACTGAACCTTTTAACATTCACAACAACAAAAATTGGCAGAAGCTGGACAGGCCCATAGTGGGTGAGCTCCTGGGTGGATTCGATTTTTCTGAACTTGAAGTGTGAAGATTGTTTCCACCCTAGGGCTCACCAGGGAAACCAAAGAAACTTGAGGCTGGAAATCAGTTAGAACCTTGGACCGTAGAAAGATGGGGGTGGACAGTGATCTCATAGAAGCTGTTAGGACGAGGAAGTGATTGTGACAGACACTTGTATACCAACATTTGGGCTTGGACGAGTTTAGAAAGGCGTTCATGTAAAGTTCAAAAAGCATGCTGTCACACAAACAGGCATCACTTGAATGAGACAGTCTATAGGCCACAAAGCATTGGCTACTCTTATGTGATTATAAAACTTTTATCAAATCATTTCATGTTCTAAAAGCTGAGCTAACATTATGGAATAAAAAATTCAATTAAATTGTTAACTTTTATCAATCTATGGGTAACAGAATCAAAAGACACAAGTACCACGTTCTAATATCGATTGTGCCATGTATTCTCATGTAGGTCATAACTGTTCAAGGAGTTCAGAAGGTCATTCTTACATATCATTCCATACATCTTCTTCTTTACCAACTCTTACCATTTCAATCAACAAAAGTTATTCAAAACAACAAATTGACAAATTTATGTCAAGTTTTTCAATGCAATTTTTTTTCTTCAATTTTGCTCCCTTCCAATCAGCACTTTCCCTCTCGATCAAAATGAAAACAAAAACAACAAAAATTCTGTAATTCGACAGACACTCTTGGCACACTATCCAGCTCGAGTCTTGTGCAACAAGGGTCCAGACAATTTCCCTCAACCTCATTTCCGAGGGCTCACGCCTGGCCACAGGAACCTCAGAACGTCGCCGTACCATAAAAAAACTGATTCAAGAAAATTTACGACAACCGACATTATCAGCCACAGAGGGGTCGCAGTAATCCCAGTAATTACTCGTGATGAGGGTAGGAGCAAAGACAGGGTCCAAATTGTTCTGGACATTGTGGAAAGCTAGAATTAGCATGTTGACGCAGGGGGCTCGGCCTTGGCTAGTTGCATGGCGGCAACTCCATTTACTTCTAATTTGGTTGCGGTGTTGTTGCCAAAGTCATTTGGGATAGTTTGAAGGTCTGTGTGTAGAGATGCAGCTCCAGAGAGCTAGGAGCCAGGACATCGCCGAGATTGGCGTGTTTAAATTAAGAGTGGCAAATTAAGTGGGAAAAGAAGGCGTATTGTGGGCGAGAAGCGGCGGTGCGAGGAAATACATATATCCTGGTTTTCCACTTCGTTCACAAATACAGGCACAGATTTTCTTCTTTCTGTGCCAATGTGCAGTCACAATTGAGATCACAGACATTACAATGACTGAAAAAACAAGCAGAGTTACATCAGCCTGTCATGACCTACATACACATAAGTTCACTGAGAATACAACATGAGGCTAATTCAATCAAGCATTATTACCATATCAATCTAATTTGTCTTCAATATATCTCAGGATAATTACAAGGTAAAAGCACAGTAAACATCCTTTGTATGGATCCTAATCATGACACAATAGTCACAAATATCACAACAAAATGAATATATGTATAATAACATCCCTTTGAGATCTGTATTTTTTTCAATCCAAAGTACTACACTACTAGATGTATGGTGAACTTATACAACAAACTAAAATCTTTTGTATCTCTGCTTGTATTGAAAGGACACTGCTCACTTAGCTATCTAGGGAAAATAAGATATAAACTCCCACAAATTTAGATACAATTTTGCCTGTTTATTAAAAGAACATCTGCAAACCCTCCCTATTCATTCATCCATTCTCAACCACTTACATTTATCTTATCTTTTGTCATCATCTTCCTAACACAATTTTTTTCCAGGTCAAAATACTATTTTTCTCCCTAAAGACTACATCCTGGTCTGTGGAGCAGCACTAAAAAGCATGTCACATGCATTCCCCGACATGGAATAACTAGAGAAAGCAAATAAACATGAACTCAATAAAGGGCAGTTACCCTGTATTGCCATCCCCTAATTCCACTTGCACTGGACAGAATCCAATTATACTTTGCTCACACCTAGCTTTAGCCCCACCTATATCTTTCCGTGTGATCTCGATGAGAAGTGTAGCGGCAGCCTCCCATGGGTTAAGCCATCACTCCGGGCGACACGGGCAGGCAGCAGTCGGGTGAAATGCGGTCTCAGCTGATTTGCGGGCACATTCTCGCTTTACATTTTTACGCATGTTGTTTTAAACGATGCCGAGATTTTCACGCTGGATGCACACATCACGCTGGTTAAACTAACATCCCTAATTTCATACCTGCATCGGACTACAGTATCAAATTAGAATTGATGATCATCACGTACTGCTTTATGGAAAGAACCCATGCTATGCCAAAGTTACTACCATCCTTTTGGTGACCATGAGATCAGATCATATTACATTTTCATATGTTAACTGTTCACATATTTACAAGTGTAAATTTGTCCATTTCTTTGTCTTTAGAATCCAACAGACACAAAATATTTCCCTCATAATCTACAAACCTCAGTTTCAAAGTGCATACAAATATACAAATACAGTCATGACCACCAATAAGACATTTCTTTTGATGTAATATGGCCTCCAAAAAACCTTTACATTGGTTAATATTGGTTTCGCTTGTTAATTGAGTACCTAAATATAGAATATTGATTCATGAATTGAGAATTCCAACCATTTCTCCATTCATGAACTCAATACCAAGACAATCATCTATTTATGTTGTCAATCACACAAGACACATCTTCATCTCCACCCTTAAATCGTTCCTAACCATATCAATCAATCAATCAATCAATCCATTAATTCTTCCATGTACCGTCCCCTACATGCACTTATCCATTCATCTTTCCACTCAATCCTCCATCGATACCTTCATCCATCCATCTAACCATCTCTCCATCCATTCATCTGTCATTCCATCTCTCCATCCATCCATCCATCCATCCATCTATCATTCCATCTCTCCATCTATCCATCTACCCCTCCACCTATATCCTTCCATTCCTCCATCTACCCATGCATTCATTCAACCATCCATCAAGGACTACAAACCGGACAACATTTCCCACCCCGACAACATTTCTCAAAACATCTGCCGGTGTTTAGATAATCTTGCAAAAATAGTTTTCAAAAGGAAGATGCACTTTACCCCCCTCCCCCCCCCCCTACCCCCCTTCCTCGCTCTCTACATCTCTCACATCCTCTTTGTCCTACATTCCCCCCGCATCCTCCGCCGACCAACGAACACCAGATAGAAGGATAGATGAAATGCGCTTCTCCTGTAAAAACCGCCCCAAGATATTATCTTTGGAAACATGCGTGTTGCCGGTTATGCCCGCTCAGCTCTCCTGGCATTAGCAATCTTTTTCATTCATGACATTACCTAGCTCCCATCAAATGTAAGATGTATTGCTGCAAACAGGGATATCTTAAACAGGCCCTCCTCGATATGTTTTTTCTACGATGTTGACATCAAAACTATTATTTTGATACCGTCCGATAATATTATCGTAAGGTATGAGTTTGGGAGATCATATTCACATTACGGATGACCCATTATGAGTTCTCCTAGATACAACATATTTGAAGTAGGTTATTATGCTGCTTGCCTAAGGCTTTCACTCAGTGTTAAAGATGTTTATTGTTATTAAATTATCATACTCTATTCATAGTAGCAGTTTATGTTCATACATGTACATGTACAGTGCCAGGATTCTACCATCAAAGAAAAGTGAAATTGAATTGACAATAAATCCCATAAACACAAATGTACCACCTCATTGATGTGAAAACACACAAGTTTCTTCATTTCAAATTTAAATAAAACTATAGCAGCTTTGCAAAAAAACATTTCATACATTACTCACAACGGTAATTATGTCTACATAGAAACTTACTAATATACTTTTTAATTGCATCTGAAAAGATAATCTAGACGACAAGGCAGTTATGTTTTTATAATGTTTCGCCATCTGTCCTTATCCTGTGGTATATTTTACCAATAATAGACATCGGGATAGAAATGCGACATCTATGTTTGTCTTTCGTATTGATTATCTGAGACGACATCTTTCAACGGATAAACATGGATTCATCATGCTCATCCAGGAAGTTGGGGAAGGCTTACCATACACCTGCATGGGATCTACTCTCCCTGCCTTGTGAGGGACAAGGACCTTTTTATACCCTTTTCTCCACCCCCTTCCTTTTTGTTTTACTTTTAAAGAGAAAGAACATTATTCCATCGCAAACAAGACATTAAAATGTGATCACTTTGAACTAAACTAAATTTATGGGTAATGTATTTTACATGAAAATGAAGCCATTACTAACAGGCTAAGTTTACAATGCATCGTGTTGAACATTAATGTTCATTTCCATCTTAAGCAGTAGATGATGATGATGATGCCCCCTTTCAGAATAGCAAGATTTAATGTTTTGCTATACAATAAGTAATTGATACTACTAGTGTGAACATCTTTTATTTATTTTATTTATTTGACATATTTATACAGGATAAAAAAGAAACAATCGAATCAGCAAAGCTGTTTTTCATTGATGTCCTGTTAACATGATTAAACATTTCCAATTCTAACCAATGGGATTCTTTTCATTACATCATGTTGTCTGTTTGGTGCAAGAGGGGCGTTAATTAACTCATATACTTTAACACAAAGTTAATGCCCTTCTGGCTCTGAACAGACAAATTATAACAAAATATTGTCCAGCAAACTGGAGGGTTGAACATCATTTCTAATGAATTCTTGATCCAGGGTCCATGATTCCCTTTGTAAACATCTATACACCAATCACACACTGTACAGGCCTATACCTATAACTGGGCAGGGAGTGTTATGAACATTTGCTGATATGACCAGTGCCAGCACTGCCCATGACTTCAGCAGACAGCAACATATGATGTAAGATGACCTCCTGCAGAAGTAGTGTCCACATACAACGTTCCTTCCGATGATAATCTTATCACAGGTGTATATGCCCCTTTCAATATATGATAACTCTTTACATGTTTTCCTTACACAAATTTTAACTTTGTATAAGTTTCATCTAGTGTGAATACCACATGCTTCTCCATATGCAGCTATGCTCGTGCAATCTAGGATTGAATTTCCTAACAGAGTATAAGGAGGAGAAAAAATGGAACACAAGAACAAATTTTAACTTTGCACAAACTTCATCTAGTGTGAATACCCCATGCTTCTCCATATGCAGCTATGTTCGTGCAATCTAGGATTGAATGTCCTGACGGGGTATAAGGAGGAGAAAAAATGGAACACAAGAACAAATTTGAACTTTGCATAAACTTAATTTTTCTAGTGTGAATGGGTCGACCCTTATGTGAATCCAGGCTATGTTTAATTGATTGAATGTAGAGCCTTATAGGGTATAAGGAGGAGAGCATATGGATAAGGAGAGTAAAGATTGACATCAGTAATCATCAATTAGCACACTCTTAAGGCACATGCAGGTCACTCAATGAACGAGTTTCTCCCTCCTCAACTACATCACAAGCGAGCAAGAGAGCGCTACCTGTGTAATTGATATTGATGACTTGAGGTCTCCACCTGGTACAGTCCCAATCTCTCCCTATTTTGCAATCTCTGTCTCTGTCCGACTCTCCCACTCCTCTATCTCTCTCTCTCTTTCTCATTCTCTCTTGTCTTTCCCATCTATATATTTGAATATATTTCTCCCTATCTCTTTCTCTCTCTCTTTTTGTTGTTGGTGGTCCTTCTTTAGTTTCATTTCTTTCTAGCTCATTTCATTTTTTCATCTCCATATTCTTATTTTTCAATATCGTGCTGCATAAAGGATAAAGGATAATTAAACTAAATCAGGCTGCAAATCAATCAATCTTCATAAAAATTTTACCAACACACATTTGCTTGACTTACAACATTTAAACTATTATTATTGAATTATCAAACCTCAATATCATTTATCTTGCAGGT